TATACGGAACGGAATGCATGATTCCCGCAAAATTCGAGTTCCCAGGAGTACGCAGGAGACTGCTCCCGGAAAGAGAAGAGACAAATAACTTAATGCTTCTCGACGAACTCGACCTAATTAACGAACGGCGGGATCAGGCACTCGTTCGAATTCAAAATTATCAGCAAGCGGCTGCCAAGTACTATAACGCAAACGTACGTAACCGCAGATTTCACGAAGGCGAGCTAGTCTTACGAAAAGTCTTCCAGAACACCGCATAACGAAATGCCGGTAAACTAGGAGCAAACTGGGAAGGACCGTACAAGGTCATAAAAGTAGTCCGACCCGGAGCATACGAAATCGCAAACATGTAGGGCGTAAAAATTCCCAGATCCTGGAACGCGATGCACCTCAAAAAATACTATCACTAGGCAGCACGCCCGCAGAACACTGAACTACAAGACGGCTTGATCCCCTCGAAAGGGTACGTAGGCATCTTATCGCAAGATAGGACCAGCCGTCCCCCTCATTCAAAAAGGGGGGAGTAGGTGAGTATATGTATACTCGTATACTCCCAAATTTTCAAAACTCGAAATTTCTCAAACTTTTTCAGCAAACGCATCGAAAGAAAAAACGAAACTCTTAATATAGCGAGACGTCGCCAATGTTCGGAAAACACGTTCATCTCCAAAAAACAATAGACAGTCCATCCGCGACTATAAATACGCAAAACTTCTTAATATACTTATCCTTCGCGAAGGCCTAAACTGCGCAAACATCTATCACTTAAAAATAGTTCGTTGCTGATCACGACGAACTCGCAACAGTCTTAAACAAACTTTAGTTATCTCGCAGAGATAGCTCTCATACACCCGACACAAGGGTAATAGCGCTATAAAGAAATCCAAAATTTTGGTCAGCACCTTCGGGGTGCTCGATTCCAACCAGACGAATCGTATAAGCCGAGAACCTATCGCGGATTCTAAATCGGTATGGAATCAGGTTGAAATCGCAACAGGCAAAACGAAAGCCGACTAGTCATCGCACAGCCTTAATCCGAAAGTAAACCTAGGTCTTGCCCTAAACCCAGCACACTGGTCGCTAAC